ACCCTGAGCTGGCGTTAGAAGAGAAGAACAAGGGCAACGATGCCTTTCAGAAAGGTTTGTAAAATGACATCTACATATTTGCCTTGTTTGTTGAAGGGAAATTGCTAAAGATGATGCTATTTATTTTCCAGGAGACTACCCATTAGCCATGAAACATTACACTGAGGCTATTAAGAGAAACCCCAACGATGCCAAGCTGTACAGTAACAGAGCTGCGTGTTACACAAAGCTGTTGGAGTTTCAGCTCGCCCTGAAGGTACGACCATTTGGCACCACTTAGGAATGTGATTTAGCTCCTTTCTCCTCGGCTTAACCTGTCAACCTTTCCTTTTTGTTTTTCCCCTTTGTTAGGATTGTGAAGAGTGCATCAAACTTGAGCCCACTTTCAGTAAGTTTTATTGTATTTTCTAGACTACAAGCTGCACCTTAATATTTGAAGCACAAGCTAAAATTAGGGCAAAATCCTGCTTTTAAATGGCGGATTATACTTCTGCAACCGCACACATCAAGTGTCGCTTGTGTCTGGCCGCGGACCAGTTTTGCTGGCATGCGTCTGCAATGTCGGGTCTGGAATTTCTAGGGACGCACAGCAGTTTCCCACCAAAGCGCAAGGGGGAGCCTATTCGAGAACTCGCGGATGGTCACGAGAACTTCTTCGGCATAAGTGTTTATTTTCCAAAACATGTCTGAGGCATCTTACTTGTACTCCTGAACCTCCTTGATCAACCTTTCGTCATGGTTATCCATTGTTGTTATCACTCCTCGGTTTTTAAAAATGGCGCCCCGGCACTGAATCGAGAAGGACGACCACAGAGACAGCCGGAAAGGCATACCAATGACCAATCAAAGCTGCTATTTGTCTGTGCACTTCCTCTTGAGGTCTGTGCGGGTTTGCGACCGTCCGATGCGTAGTCAGGGAGACAGATTTGATGGTTGCAGAGGCTTTGCGTCAGAAGTATAAATTGGCCTTAATACGTTAGCCGCACCTGACAAAAAGCAGCAGGTGTTTTGATGTTTAATTTCCTTATGTAAGAGAGTATACACAAAGGGGATTGTCAGAAAGAGATGGCTGTTTGGGAACAGATCCCTTTCATTAACAGTTTGAAAAAACTAGCTGCCACTACATATTTGCTTAACTTTTTATGTATATGTACAGCTACCGGTAATTACAAGTACGAAGCATATACTGAGCTGTTTATACAAATGCATTGTATAAAATAATATACAGCACACCAGAGAAAATAGATCTGGCCTACCTTTTGGGCTAAAGTGCAGCTTGGGCTTTAACAAGAAGAAAAGTCAGTTATTCATCGCCATCGTCTTCTTTCTGCCCACTAAAACCACCAAAGTCATCGCCTTCAGTGTCTGAAACAAACGGTCTCAGGGTGGCTTCGTCATCCGCTTCTCTCCTTCACTGTTGCTTTCAAAACCGAAGCGCTCCTTGTTTTCAGTGTCTAAATGGAACGCCCTCTGAGGAGTCATGGCGGTGTCCTCCTCTTCATCACCTCGCAGTCCAGTCCTTCTAAAGTAGTTGGTGATCATACAGCACTACTTTGCCTAGCGGACGGACATGTGACCAACATACCACTCTTTTCCATGGATACTGTGTTTCTGATCACATGCCCTTCCGCCAGGCAAAGTAGTGCCATACAGCGGCGGAACAAACCAAAACAAATCCTCTTATGATATCACAAAAACATCCATAGAAACGCCACATCAGGCGATAAGATGCAGGGTTCAAAGCTGGTGAAAGAAGTAGTGGCTTATTGTCTGAAAATTAAAGTATTCTTTTTTTTTTTTTTTTTTTTTTGATAGCTAAAAGGGAAACCCAACCAAAGTTTTATTTGAATTTTTCTTAACTAATAAATGTTGTTTTTGCAGTCAAAGGCTACACACGTAAAGGAGCTGCCTTGGAGGCTATGAAAGACTTTTCCAAAGCCATGGACGCATACCAGAAGGCGTTAGAGCTGGATTCGTCATCCAAGGTAATCTATATGCAATATAAAAGTTTAAAAAGAACAAAATTGTAAAGGCTGTCTTAAAAAGGAAAAAAAAAGCAAAGTAAAGTGAATAGCTTGGGCCAGTTAAGAAGGGTTATGCTGTTCAGCTGTATAAACTCATAAGGTCTGAGATCAAAAGTAATGTTGCCACTCTGTTTCTAAAGGCTAATAGGAATATGTTCAAATATTTGGGAGCTACTTCTGCAGTACAGGATATGTGTGAGTTTCAATAGTAGGGCTTGAAAAACGAATTGCCTTTTCAATAAGACCATAACAATTTGTGTCAACCGAATGTGCAGAGTTGTGCTCATGTGGATCAGAACCTCTGAACGCATCATTGAAGCCAATACTCAGGGTTCACTCCCTCATATTGCACATTTAAAATGGTGCCCCACTGCGCAGATATGTAAAATCAGATTGGCTGTAATGAAGCCGATTCTATGGCTGTTCATGTAATCCAAAAAAGGTCAAGGTCTGTAAACAAGATGAGAATCACCAGAGCCGTGACTAACGAGAAAGTAAATTTTTTTCAGAGCATTGTGTCAGAACTCTAAGTTAAAATATATGTTCATAAAAATCCTCTGCTTCTCTCTCTGGGCCTTTCAGGAAGCCACAGAAGGTATTCAGCGCTGCATGGTCAGCCAAACCATGAGGAACGACAGCCCAGAGGAGGTGAAGAAAAGAGCCATGGCTGATCCAGAGGTCCAGCAGATTATGTCCGACCCGGCCATGCGCATGATCCTTGAACAGATGCAGAAGGATCCACAAGCCCTCAGCGAGTAAGTTCCACCTCTTCCGTAATGTTACATTATTGGCAAACTTCCATAAATCCTTCCTCTAATTGTTGCTTCCCGTTTTATTTCCAGCCACCTAAAGAATCCAGTCATCGCTCAGAAGATACAGAAACTCATCGATGTCGGACTGATAGCCATCCGTTAATGTGAAACAAATCCATGTATGTAAAGAAGTTCCGTGACCCGAGTGGAACAACATGCAGATTCTTCTGATCTTTGCCTTCAAGATTATATTGTCCTGACCTGACTGGGACTTTTGTCTGTATGTTTTTTTTTTTTTTTTTATCATTATTTTTATTCTTGTTCACAACTTTGGAATTGTTTTGGGAAAAGGCATCTGGTATATCCTCTGGAAAACTACAGCACTCCAGGCAAGATCAACTCAGAGTTCACTTGTAAAGTTGCTGTAAAACATTAATAAACATTAAAATGCTGTACAAGAATCGGCTCAGTGTTTAAAGGGAGTTTCACCCAAAAGCTTTTCTGTGTGTTCATGCTTGGAATAGACATTTGAAAATGTATTACTGGTTAGACGTGCAGTAATAAATTCAAGTTTATTGAAAGATTGCGCTTTATTTTCCTGTTCCTTCTCTTGCTAAGGTTACAGACATTATGAAGCTCTGAATCTGACTTTTTCCTTATAGGAATAACCTGCTTAAAAATGCCTTTTGGTATCAGCTACTGCAGTTTGGTGAGGTCATCTACAGATTAGGAATTTCTAGTGTTTTAAGTAGCATCGACTCCTTTGGCTGTACCTTATCTGGGTGTAATGGAAAGAATCAGGACATTTAAATTGTGGATTAAGAAAATATGGAGTTTATTTCTCTCATTGGCACCTTAGCAGAACTTATTATTTAACCTTGTAATATTTGAACATTTAAATATTGACCATCTAAGGGGAGAAAAAAATATTGTCCGGTTTCTTTTTTATTCCAGCAGGAAATTCCTGAAATATTTTTGTCCAGGTTGTCCCTGTTTCTTTATAACTAATAACGCATCTCTGAGAAGTAGAATACTTGTTGAAGAATTAACAAAGTATTTGAGTAGCAGACTAATAGAAAACTCGCCGGTTTTGTACACTGCTGGTTGATTACTGAAACTTCGTGATGCACCAATTAAAAATCAGCCGTCGGTAAACATTTGACAGCTTTGCTGATGGTTACAGCAAGCAGTTCTTAAACTTTATTCAATTTTATAAAATAAAGTTTTGTTTTTCAAACATTTCTGTCTGCCCCTCTATACTGTTCCAACAGGAAAATTAGCGAGCAAAACATCCATATTCTAAATAAAGACAAACTATACTTTCCCACAGCCTTTGCTCACAAGTAGACGAAAATATTCAAACATCCGTGCTTTCTAGATAAGAGGTATAATGGATAAAATTGTTTCAGGTTTGAGTTTTTGGCGAACATCTTTTACATTGTCATTACCTACTTTTGTCAGTAATCATTCTGCATAAAATTGATATTTACAATTACAAATATCTGCATAAATTAATTATTTAATAGGTTTTTATTTAAATAGTTATCTATGATTTCACTCTGATTTCACTTTTAGATGACTTCTTACCCCATAAAACACAAAATCTATTTCTGCTTGAATTCTGTTTTTATCATCTTTAATGTTAGTATATTGATGTGCATAATTAACCAGGGTTTTTGTTAATATATGAAAAATTAAAATGTTTTGAATATTACACTTGAAATTACTGTTGCCACCATCTGTATTAAGAGCGAAATAAATGGTAGCGGTGGCCAATGATTGGCTAAGGGTGGCCATGGCCTCCCCTGGGCCCCCATCTAGCTCTGCCCCTGGATAACCTATACCATATGGCTGTTATTGTAATGTTTCCAGGCTTACTTCAGGTGATCAGAGCTGTTTTGAACTAAAAAGTTAAACTTTAACAAAAATTTTTTTTTTAATAAAGACATCATCGAGCAGAAATTTACCAAATACAAAATTAATTTGGCGAAATCTTGTTTTTAACAACAACAGTGTATTGGGGGACAGTTTATTAAAAATAAGGGAAGCTAAACATAGCTTCTTCTTGAGTTTGGGCTTTAGTGCATCTGAATTACACCAATAAATAGACTCAAAATGCTATTTATGTACAATTACTAACAGGACAATAAGTATTGTTTAATTTTTGCCACATAATCGCTTTTCAGCTCACTGGTCTCTCTAGTAAAGAAGCCCCGCCCACTATCCCGCGTCACGTGACTGGCCGTCGCCCAGGTTGTCTCGAGAGCATCCTGGTGTTAGCAGTTTGCTGCGGTCAGAAAACCCAAGTAAAGACGCAGCTTACACTTGATGGAGAAATAATGTATTTAACTCTTAGGAAAAGGAGGAAGACCAGGAGCTACTGCGGAGGTGTTTTCCGCCACCGGCTGACTGCTCGCACCTGAAGAGGCCAGTTGAAAAGGCTAGCAAACATTTAGCGATTAGCTAATCGTTCAAACTTTGACGGACAGCTAGTTGCTAACGCTGTTTTACATCTGGACAGGGAACGAATCATTTTGTTGGAGCTATTATACCAACAAAAATATTTAATTCAAAGATTTCATTTTTAAAAAGCCGATTTCAAAAGTAACGCGTCATTACAAAAGTAACTATTAGCTACCTTCTGGATAATGACCAATGATACACAGCTAATGCTAACAACAACAGTACGTTAAACTGCATATAGTGTCAAACTAACGGCTAAGTTTGGTGACAGGAATTGAAAGCAACACTATTATTTCCTCTTAATGTTGGTGCGGATCAGGCAGCCGTTACAAAGCAACACGTCCTTGTTTTTCTTTGGTTATTGACATGACTGAGAAACAATGTGAAACAGCAGGATGTCAGATGCGTGGGGATTAATGTTATTCCCTCGAAAACACATCGGTCCTGTCTTTTCGATAATCCCTGCCTTCCTCGCAATGCATTCACAATAGATCTGTGTACTTGTCGAGCCTGTAGCGCAGTTATTTAGCATTTAGGTTTATTAAATCAGTCTCTACAAGACCCCCAAACACCTTTAATTATGTCTGGGGACACATCTGACAGTAGTGATGACTCCGATGGGAAATCAAACAAACATCAAACTGTCAAACATCAAATCACTAATGGTAAGTCACATTTATGTACATTCTTAGAGGAATTTATTGTAATTTTCAAAACAACATGGGTAATAAGACAGGTATGAAATTAGAACATTAGAAAAGTCTGAAAAAAAATCACATTTTGGCAGTTTTTGATGAAAAGTTTTTCACTTGAATGATCAAAACTGCAAACTATTTACACCATATAAACCTCCATTTCTTACAATATAATAATAATAATAATTCTTAACATATAATTACATGGAGAGGTGTTTTTAATGATTTTATCTCAGATTTATTCATTTGAAGTTCATTGTTGTTATAACTGCAACCAGTTAAGCTAATAGAAGATCTGAGCAAAATGGCTTAAAAATCTAACATTTTTTCTAGCGAATTTATGATCCCCTGTAAAGGGGAATGAACCCATCAGTAAAACAACCTTGAAAAATAATCAAGTTTCAAAATAATGACAACATGACACACTAAACGTTTGCAGTTGGTGGTACCACACAGAGAGCTGGTTTATCTGTTATGAATGCACATCTAAGAGCAAAAAAGGATGAACTGATGTCACCCTCATCTACGGAAGCTGATGGAAAAGATCTCGATTCTCAAAAAATTTTATCTTCTTAAACAGAAAATTCGATTAATCAATTTTATCGATTAATTGCCTAGCCTTACTGAGATGTACTTTACATATTTAGGTTCACATTTTTCTTACTTTCTTGTTTGTGGATTAGTTCATCCATACACATATTTAAATTGTTGCTGTAGATCTTTTTAAGCTGGACTTTACACAAACACATATAATGTATACCAATAATCAGATAACGTATTAAAGCTGATGGTTGAATTGAATTTTTTTTTAGAGATATGCACTAACTGTTAAAGGTACACTATGCAACCGGTGTTGATTTTCCAGCGAGGCTCCCCCCAGAGGGCAAAAGTAAAAGTGCACTGTCGTAAATATGCACAGCTGTTCTCCTGGTTTCTCCGTCAAGCCAGGCGCGGTTGTTTTGAGCTTAGCAGACAGGCGAACGCAACGAATGACTAATGCTGCGTTCACACCGCAGCTGGCGCGACAGAAGCAGCGAGTTTACATGCAACGTAACGTCAAGGCGCAGCAAAGGGTCCCGCGGCGCGTTTTGAGCAGCAGGCGCAGCACGTCTGAGCAGCTGAAGCAGCGCATCGGGCGCGTTTAAGCATCTGACGCAGGGAGAGAGACACAGCGCTGATGATCACTCCTCTTAAACAGTTTATTGACGCCTAAATTAACTTAAAATGCAGAAATCTGCCGGCAGAATATGCAGTTTGGATTATTTAGATGAAAAACACCTACCAGCTGCCGTGGTGAACCGCGAGGAGGCGACCCGGCCAGAGGCTGCTGATGAAGGGATCCCTACTGTCGGCGCACCGCTGGTATGTGGGGGTCTGAGCGGCTCCGACAGAAAAAATATTGAAGGCAGGATAATAATCTGAATGAACTGACTGCACTGATTACGTTTTCAGGTGTATTTTCTCACTTAAACACATACACTATATTGCCAAAAGTATTTGCTCACCTGCCTTGACTCACATATGAGCTTAAGTGACATCCCGTTCCTAATCCATAGGGTTCAATATGACGTCGGTCCACCCTTTGCAGCTAGAACAGCTTCAACTCTTCTGGGAAGGCTGTCCACAAGGTTTAGGAGTGTGTTTATGGGAATTTTTGACCATTCTTCCAGAAGCGCATTTGTGAGGTCGCACACTGATGTTGGACGAGAAGGCCTGGCTCTCAGTCTCCGCTCTAATTCATCCCAAAGGTGTTCTATCGGGTTGAGGTCAGGACTCTGTGCAGGCCAGTCAAGTTCATCCACACCAGACTCTGTCATCCATGTCTTTATGGACCTTGCTTTGTGCACTGGTGCACAGTCATGTTGGAAGAGGAAGGGGCCAGCTCCAAACTGTTCCCACAAAGTTGGGAGCATGGAATTGTCCAAAATGTCTTGGTATGCTGAAGCATTCAGAGTTCCTTTCACTGGAACTAAGGGGCCAAGCCCAGCTCCTGAAAAACAACCCCACACCATAATCCCCCCTCCACCAAACTTTACACTTGGCACAATGCAGTCAGACAAGTACCGTTCTCCTGGCAACCGCCAAACCCAGACCCGTCCATCAGATTGCCAGATGGAGAAGCGCGATTCGTCACTCCAGAGAACGCGTCTCCACTGCTCTAGAGTCCAGTGGCGGCGTGCTTTACACCACCGCATCCGACGCTTTGCATTGCACTTGGTGATGTATGGCTTGGATGCAGCTGCTCGACCATGGAAACCCATTCCATGAAGCTCTCTGCGCACTGTTCTTGAGCTAATCTGAAGGCCACATGAAGTTTGGAGGTCTGTAGTGATTGACTCTGCAGAAAGTTGGCGACCTCTTCGCACTATGCGCGTCAGCATCCGCTGACCCCGCTCCGTCAGTTTACGTGGCCTACCACTTCGTGGCTGAGTTGCTGTCGTTCCCAAACACTTCCATTTTCTTATAATACAGCTGACAGTTGACTGTGGAATATTTAGGAGCGAGGAAATTTCACGACTGGATTTGTTGCACAGGTGGCATCCTATCACAGTTCCACGCTGGAATTCACTGAGCTCCTGAGAGCGACCCATTCTTTCACAAATGTTTGTAAAAACAGTCTGCATGCCTAGGTGCTTGAATTTATACACCTGTGGCCATGGAAGTGATTGGAACACCTGATTCCAATAATTTGGATGGGTGAGCAAATACTTTTGGCAATATAGTGTATTAAAACTACTTTATTCCCACTGATCACAGCAAATATAGCTGCAAGGCAGAGAAAGGATAGTGAAGCTCCACCCAACGCGCGTCAGACACACTTTTGCACCGCGCAGCCAGAGCAGCAAAGCTGCTTCAGCCGCGCATCAGAACTAACTGGTTCAAGCAGCAAAAAGGAAGCAGCAGACGCGATTTTGCTGCGTCCGATGTGAACGTAGCATAACTGCACAAAGATCGCCACTGTGCTAGCAACGAGAATGCTTTTAACTGGGGGCGTGTAGCAGTTCTCGCCGTAAAGCAAGACTGACTCTCACGAGACTTCTGAGCCTGTGGGTGCGGGTCGGTGCTCCTGCAATTGCAAGTGCAGTATTTCCCCCACAGACCACCAGGGCGGCCGAGAATACCTTTGTTCAACCTGAAATGACTCATTTAGTCATCCATAACGTTATGGAACACATTAATTAACTGAAAAATGTTGCATAGTGTGCCTTTAATGCATACCACACTATTCAGATTATTCTTTTTCAACATGTCTAAATCAAGAAGTTTCTGGGTTATTTCTTTGGTGATGTTCATTTGCTTTTTGTCAGGATTTAAGCTTTTTAATCAGTTGAGATCAGTTTTCAAGTGGGCTCCCTTCGATGTGCAGCACGTACTAAAACAGTGTTAGCCTAGTTTTAAATACTTCATGTGTTATGTTATTAAATTTTAAGTATAGAGGAGGAATAAATAAATATAAACAAATACATCAGAGACAGTAGACCTCTAAACTCAAATGATCAGTAGACATGTTTTATTTGCTATCCCAAATTTTATATTGTTTTTAGAGCTGAAACAATTAATCAGATTCATCGTCATCATCGATTATTGAAATAGTCATCAACCAATTGTTAACTGGAGTATAGAGACTCTAAAACATGCCTTTAGTTGACAGAGCAACTTTCTTAGAGCAGGATTTATAGAAAAATTATTAAACAAAATATAAATATTTTGAATTTAGGATAAAAAAAAAAAAAGATGCAGAACTCCTCAAGTGGAAAAGTTTGAGTTTCACCTGGTTTGATTCTGTAAAAATATCTTATGAACCTTTGTTCTAGGAACCTTTTGCTATCCAAATAATCCATTAATCAAAAAACATAATCAACAGATTAATCAATTAGCAACATAATCGTTAGCTGCAGCCCTAATTGTAATACCAGAATGTAAAGGATTATCAAAATGCCTTTTTTTGTATTTGTTTTGATGACTATTTTTTCCTCCCCCTGCTTCTAGCGAATCTCACAGGTCACACTGAAAGGGTCGGCATGGAGAACTTTGAGCTGCTCAAGGTTTTAGGCACCGGAGGTAAGCTTCTAAAGCTGTGTCTTTTGCATAAATGATCCCTAAATGTGGATGTTTGCTTAACACTAGAAAAGACACACAACGTTATTGAAACCTCATATCAACAGTCAAGGACACTAATGTGAGCTAAGGGTTGTTTTGCAGCCATATGGCTCCTTACAGTCGATGTTTTCACTTAGTTTAATGAGACTCCATCTGTCAACCTACTGAAGTTTAAATAGGTCACACAACGGGATAATGATTCTAAACAAAGCAGCCAAACTAAGAAAATAAACAGAAACGGCTTTATCAGTTAAAGCCCAGACTTCAGTTCGGTTAAATACTGTAGGACCTTCAGAGAAGTTTGTTTATTAAACTGAAGGATTGTTCTGGAAAGGCTGTTAATATTTTTTAAACCACTGTGACAACTGTAGATTTGAAATAGTTGTTGTATTAGACCGTAAGGAAGTGATGAGATTAGGTGACTTTAAAAATTTTGTTTTTTAAGTACATTTCTTAAGTGGAGCCATAATTAGCAAGTTTTATGAAAGCTAATGGAATCAAACAGGAGTCGGATATGATGTCAATTTATTAAGAGTGCTAATTATTGCTAATTAATGCAAGATTTTAGCATATTGAGCAAGTAATTAGATAACCAGATGATAATATGTTTACGGGAATGAAATGTTTAAATGGACCTCTGGTGGTTCACTGATGGTTTTAACGTCCCCAGGCCCAAATAAAGCACAAGCAGTCACTTTCTCAGCTGTGTCCAAAGCATAGTGTCAGAGACCACAATCTAACTGCAAACACAGACAGCTTTTCCACCATTTATGTAGATGTGTGAAAATAGGAAATACATTGTGAAATGCATTGGTTTACGTGGTTTGGAAAAACATCACAAGACCTTTTCAGATTTGTTTTTTTAACCATTTGCTATTGAAATAACCTTAAATGTTGTGTGTTTTTATTCTAGCTTATGGAAAAGTGTTTTTGGTTAGGAAGAACACCGGCCACGATGAAGGCCAGCTGTATGCTATGAAGGTAAAATTGGATGCCTGGTATCTTTGCTTCAGTGTTTTATAAGTAATTTAGGTTAATCTTGTTTTCTTTCCTATCTTGCAAAAGTATGAATAGCCCTTAAACTTTTCACATTTTGTCACGTTTTAATCAAAAGCTTTGTTGTATATAATTGGAATTGTATGTGAAAATAATGCAAAAAAAGGAAGTTGGAGTATTAAAAAAAGTGTGATGTGTTAAGAAGGAAGCAATGAGGACACATTTTAGTAGAAAGTGCACTGATTGCAGACCAAAGTTGGTAAAAATCTACACAATAGCTACAAAACGGGTTTGTTTTAAAACCTGTTGGCTGCATCTTGTCCTGTTGGAGCTTTTCTTCTGCAGGAATAGTTAAGCTGGTCAGAGATGAGAGCTGTTGAAGTGGCCTAGTCAAAGCGCAGACCTAAATCCCATTGCAGAATCAAAATCTTTCAGTACCATCCGACTCAGCTGTTTTGCACGTGTTCTATATGTTCCTTAAAGCCTAGTTTAAGCTCAGAAACCTGGTCGTCTGCATGCGTGTCGCAGTTAAGGCAGATATGCCCCCACCCTTCCACAGACACTCTGATGCACCTCTCCAAAATCCTAGGTGACCACAGACAGTGCCGCAGAAGGCCTCTGATTGGTCAAATCTTTCCTGTTTGGTGCTTTGTGTGAGTGCCATTGTGGAAAACGACTCGTGAAGATGGACCAGCTAGAAGAATGAGGTGTGTGAGAACGCTGAGACCCTTTTTCCACCTGGATCCCTGCTCGTTTTTGCCCTCATGTCTCCATTGTTGCACAAACTTACCCCTTGCATTTTTCCACCTTCTCATCGCCTCGGCCGTATTTAGACCCACAGCTCGTCACGATTGTCCCTCTTGCGTTGTGGCGTGGAATAGCACTCTTCAAAATTGGGCATAAATCCAAAATATCTGCGCCATATCGACAAGCACACTGCTACACACTGCTGTGGGAGTATAATTAGCCCTTAACTCCCCAGTGTAGTTTGTGATTTTGATGTGACAAAAAGATCAAGCATTATGAATTGCATTGATGTAACAGAGGCAAGTTTGACCAACTATAATTCTGCTCAGCGTACCTAATGGAAACGTGCTTCTATGACTGTCCTTGCAGGTTTTAAAGAAAGCGGCGATCGTTCAGAAAGCAAAAACAACAGAACACACTCGCACTGAGAGGCAAGTGCTAGAGCACATTCGCCAGTCTCCCTTCCTGGTGACACTTCACTATGCCTTTCAAACCCAGAGCAAGCTGCATCTCATACTAGGTGAGTCCAGAGACGCCAGGAAAAAAAAATAAAATCAGGAGAAGCTACCATCTTGTCAGTCATGAAACATTAAACATATTTCTGTTCATCTTTCTGTCTGGCACCGTGCGTCCTTTTTTGTCTGCATTCTTCTTTGTTTATTTCGTCTCGTATCTTTTCAAGCCCCCTCTGTATTTGTTCTTGTGTGTGAGTGCAGACTATGTGAGCGGCGGGGAAATGTTTACTCATCTCTACCAGCGAGATCACTTTTCTGAGGATGCGGTGCGGATTTATATCGGGGAAATAATTCTTGCTCTGGAGCACCTGCACAAGGTGAGTGTTCTACTCGTCTATAAACTGCAGTTTCTAATGTTTGGTCCTTGAAACTACAAATGGTGCTAGGCTAGGAAATAATTCGGGGATTTTTTTTCCATCCTTCAAAGTTGGTTACTTATTTTCTATTCCTCATTTTTGAATTCTTGTTTTTTTTTAACTAATGTTTTATGTGCTTAAAGCTGATTCACATCGATGCTTTTGTCAACTTAAGAACATAAATCCTCTTACTTTGTTTGCCTTCTTCTCAAAACACGGCTGCTTACTCTGTTCTACAGTGTTTTTACTTCAAGGGAGGAACACTCCTTTGCTGTTCGTTTTGTGAAATGCACCCTGGCTAGAGGAAGTGGTTACCTAATAATGTTACGCAACTACTGATGCTGATAATTTTGCTCATATCTGGGAAAGCAGCTGCAGTGTTAAGTCATCATTCTTTCTTCAGCTCTGATTCTTAACTGAACGGCAGCTGTCGGGTTGTTGCTGCTTTCTTCTTCGTAGCTTTCCTCTTCTTACCGCTACGATCTTATCTGCTGATTTATTGTCACATAACATTTTGGTTCTATAGTTACAGTCTTCCAAGAGTTAAACTCAATCTTTAGGATTTAATCACATTTTCAGCTTTTAAAAGCTATAAAGGATCCAGATTAAGCTAATTTTTCTTTTGTCTCCCTGCTACATGGAGTTGTTAAGCCATTAAAGTAGAAACAGTATAAGAGGAATAACCAAGAACATGTTAATCAGAGGATCCAGGGACAATATTGTAGCAAGGAAGAAAAAACCCCAGAAAGATAAAGTAAAATTGCCAAAATAAACAATCTGCTATCCCTAGCATAACTGACTACTCCTGTCCTTTTGCTGTATTATTTATTAAAGGTATCTCTCTGTTGTAGCAATGCCAGAGGATACACTGATTAAATCAAATATAATACATAAATGTGATATATACCAAAAAAGAGCTGTGAAACAACTGTTGTCACAAACCTTTTCCCAGTATGAGTTGCTTGCAGTATGATCCTATTCACGTGAATACGATGGATTATTTATTTAGCATAAAGTCAAAAGCGGATAATATTGTCTTTCTATAGTGGCTTAAATCATTGCAGGGGGAGGCTCCATCCGTCTTTAGACAAGAGGGCAGATGCGTCCTGGTAAGGATGCAAGTCCATCACATTAAAACTTAGTCCTGTTTTTGCGCCGTGAGAAGAAGCCAGATGAAGCAGTGAACCAATATATAGAACATACAAACTCCATGTAAAGAGAGCCCAGGCTGGGGTTGTAACCCATTGGCCTCTTGTTGCTAGGCTACAGCTTTAAAAACTGTCACGTTTAAATACATGATGAGCTCTGACAGAGTAGTGTATTTTCAGGATAACTTTTTAAAAACTCCAATTTAGTAAAAATGTTAACCCTACCTTTTCTAAAAACGGAGACTGCAAGTTGCAAAACTTACTCTGAAAGGAAAGAATGGGGTGGGGGTGGGTAATAATATTGGGCCAAAACATTTGCCTCTGCATTTGAGTTTATCAACGATGCCCAGACCAAGCAGTATCTGTCCAGTCTCCTTCAACTATAGTAGAACCTCTCCACCTACAATTAGGCCTGTCGCGATAATCAATAAATCAATTAAATAAAAACTATCCACGTCATTTAATTTATCGGCTATATATATATATGTCTCTGCCTTCTCTTTCTATTGATGATGCTGGATGAAAAGGCTTAACTCTGGTGCTATCCACTGACCCCTCCCCTTCCTAATTTTTTCGAAAGGGAAAAAATGAGGAGGAAGGAGGAGTGGACTGTCGCATCAGGTAGTCAGCGCGCATCACTTCTGCAGCTTTAGAGCCCCGTGAGGAGGCGTGGAAAAAAAAACAACACATCCTATGTTTGGGTGAAAAGCTCGAAATGGTTTCAAAGCCGAGCGCAACAGCCGCAGTGTGGCAGTATTTCGGATTCAAACCAAATGACCGAGGCAAACCGCTGAACCTATGCGAGCCAGTATGTCGCATTTGTCATAAAACAGTAGCAACTAGAGCAGCAATACAACCAACCTACACATACACCTAAAGCACAACCACCCAGCAAAGTTTCTCCAGCTGGAAACAAAAAGTACAAGCGATGGCCCGTCTGCCTCTTCAAGTTCCCGACAGTCCACCATCACTGAAGCAATTAATCGACAGGAAGCATACAAAAAGGACAGCGCAAAGTGGCGCGCACTCACAGACAGCGTAGTTCATTTAATTGCTAAAGAGATGCTTCCATTTAATATTGTTGAAAAGCCGGCATTTCGAAAAATGTTGTAGTTTTTATTTCCACTGTGGTTTTATCTTGTTTAGTTTTATTCAAGTGTATTTTTAGTTAACAGAGACTGAGAGTACATTTGATTTTTATTTCTCTTTTTATTTTGTTTACCAGTTCCAGTGTTTAAGTGTTGTTGAAAATAAAGTGTGTTTATCTTTGGCAGGAATAGCATGCATTATTACGTCATTTCCATTAAATCAGTGTAAAAAGGTCTTCAAACAATATTATTGTTTATCGCAATCATTTTTGAGACAATCGTTCAGCAAAATTTGTTATTGTGACAGGCCTACCTACAATGTAGCTATAGATTGTTTTTAATAATTTTATTTAGTCATATTGTATTGCTAATTAACAACTAAGTAGAATAATTATTTCACTACATTTAGATTTATTGTCATGCAGACCATAGTTCAGCTGGATGCCGTAAAGGCCAGAGCATTTACACAATCTTGCTTCATTAAATGTAGATGAAGTAAAATCGTGATATAGTCAAAACAATAACAGAGAACTGAAATGTCTTTCAGCAAAGCAAACTATAAATAGTCGTCCAAACACAAAGTAACCAAAACAACAACAGACTTTCGGTGCAATGATGTCTGTCATTCAGGTACATGTCAGCCGCTCAGCGTATCTTTTGTTGTTATTTTCCTCATACATTTAGAGCTGTATCGCCTCTTGTGTGCTGACAATGGTATTAATGTACGTTTAACTGCCTCTTGTCAAAGAAAACTGAAATGCCTCAAACTTAATGATGTTTTGTCACTTCTCTTTGTTATGGCTGAAGGAGGCCGTCATGCAGCGATGTAGGTTTGGGCTATAACTCTGTTTGAACAATTCATCAAATTTGTTCTTAATTAAGATTCATGTTTTGGAAAATGGAGATGTTTTATTTCTCGCTGGGCTTCTGTAGTTCAGAGTGACGTCAGCTCATTGCTCTTCCCAGACAGAGCACTTGGTGGGATACCACCAGCTGCAAAGATTGTTGGTTTGCAAATATTTAATTTTCTATTGTTTGGGTATTGTTTTTTTCATTTGTGTTTCAAAGCTTGGATTTATTTGTAGGTTGAATACAGGTTGACACCTAGAAGAGATGATATAAATGAAAGCTGTTTTTAAAACATAATTAATTTAACGTCTCATTATGAAGCTAAAGGAGAAACAATATAGATCATTTATTGGTTAAAAAAAAAAAATCTGAGATTTTCTTTACCAGCTAAATGGCTCAGCCCTACCCCAGTGTATCTCTGGTCCTGTGTTCGCTTCACATCACTACTTCTTCTGGGCAACAGGTGCAGATTCTCCTAATCATTAACACTTACTGCTTTTTTTTCTTTGTATTTAAATCCTGTTATTTGGTCAATAATTTAAAGAAAAGGGAGAAGTCTGAGTTACGCCCTATAATTAGATCGATACATAACTTCTCTAGTTCCCACATTTTTTTTTTTTTTTTTTTCCACAATGCAAAATTTTCTGTAAAGTATAATTGTCCCTCCTTAGAGGGCTGCTCTCTGAAACAAGGGAGGTCACATGTGGCATTAACAAATGTTAAAACTCATAAAACACATTTATTCGACAGATGAAGATAGCTGCTGTCAATCACTCTAAAAAAAAATAAACTCCAGAAACACGGCAAAAGTTCGGCACCAGACGACTGTTCTGACTGAATGGACTGAATGATCTCTTTTCCCTCTGGATTAATGAGGAAAACCTCCTCGCTGTCTGGCTGCTGTCAGTCAAAAATCAGGATGTCGGCCAGTCGGCATCGAGCAGCCACCTTCACGACCCGCCCCTGCTCCATAGATGCCCCAAGACGGAAGTCTTCAATAGGGGGTCCACGGAGGTACTGAATGGGGATCATGAAAGTTTTGGTTGATTAGACTTTTTTTTTTTTTATATGTATATGTATTCCCCCTGCAATTTTTTTCCCCTAACTGAATTGTCTTTAACTACACATTAACATGAATTCAACACACTGTAGTAAACAGATAAATGGAGGCAGAAGATGTCTTTCAGTCATCAATGCACACATACAGCGACACATAGGAGCTCTTTCAAGCTGGGCACCGTTTCATTCACGCCTGTCCAATCAACCAGGAATCAGAACCAGAAATATTTTAATAATCCCAGGGTGAAATGACTTTCGTCACTATACGACAAGTTTGATATAACACCATTTTATTCAATATATATAATGAGGAGGTCCCCGCGCCATCTCACAATTGGTTTGTGGGTCCTTAGCCTGGAAAAGGTTGTAGACCCCTGCCCTAAGAGCTTAAGCCTCAATGGAAGTGACCTATTTCAGCGTGTTATCCAATCAGGGCTCTACTTTCTCACTGCTTACTGCCATAGACCGAGGCTCAAACCTCAACAGGGGTTTTTCATACAGGCTGACAGGCAGCGTCCAGCTGCTGCAGAGCGGAGGGGAGATCGTGTCCGAGAACAGAATACAGAGCTGATTAATTCGCAACATACTCATGAAATCAGGCACATTTAAAACATATTTAATGCAGTTTAATGACTAAATCTATATTTTAAAAGTAATTTTACTAAATTTACAGGGGAGGTTCAGTCTCCCTAGTTCTCAATGAGAAAGCGCTACTGGTAAAAACACTGCAATAGCCTTTATTCATGTAGCTAAATAGCAACAGGTGGAGGAGGGACTCAGGAATAGCCATCCATGGTATCTTTTGTCGCTTTAATTATAACTTTCTTTCATGGCAACCATGAAATCCAACTAATGTCTGAAAAACCCCAACATTGACAGCGTTGTTGTTGGTATTGCAAACTTTGCCTCTTTCCCCATCAATAAATATGTTTAAAAACATAATTGAAAACAGTCGCTAAGTACATGTCCTGAAGAAGCGCATTTCTGACTTTTGAATGTTTTTTAGGGCAGCCAGACGGCTGCCTTAAAATGACAGAGAAAGGTTTGAAATATATATTTTTGTTGTCACTTAAAATGTTAAATCCATTTTTCTCTAGAGGGGCAGCACTTCTCTGCTCATTGTCATGAAAAAGTATTGGATCGTGGATCCCCATCTTTTATTACTACTTGCAAAAACCAATCACCTCTTATTTGGCTGCCTGCAGAGGCTCCACCTGCAGCGTATCTCCCTCTTTCCTTCACACTGAGCAGCTCAGTGGTAAACCCTAAGCATTGACAGGTGGAACTTTGAGAGTAATGTGAAGTTTTCATCTGGCAATGGGAGAATTTCTTGGAGGTGTAACGCGTCAGAATGCATCAATATGCTGCATGCAACGTGACATTTAAAAACACGTACTTGACAGAGTATGATGAGTTATTGAGGGAAGCTGCACAGAAAAAAAAAAAGACAGCAGTTAAAGCAGCACCCAGTTGCACTCCCCTCTTTGTCAATGCCTCACGCTTCTGAAGTGTTTGAGCTCCACCAGGCAGTGGAGCCTCACAGTGATCATCACCTTAAAGCTGAAGTCTGTAAGTTTTTAAAAATCACTTTTTTGTCATATTGGCTAAAACTGTCCCTATGCCCAGACAGCAGTACATGTGATATGTAAATATAAAAACTGCTTCAATTGGTACCGCCTACTGCCTGTATTTCAATCTGGAAAGAATAATTCGGGACGAGTCAAAACAACCAATCACAGCCAGAGAAGCGTCTGATGGAGTGTCTGATGGAGTGTCAATCCCCCCCCCCCCCCCCCCCCTTCTGGTCGCATGCGGTAGCCGTGCAGATGCTGTGAGAGGGGTGGAGCTTGGAGGTGGGGCATGAGTGAAGCAGAGAGGGTGGGGGAGTGGCGTGAAACCTGTTTTTCTTCAAATTTTCAGTCGAAGTCTGCTCTCTCCTCAATGTTACAGACTGCAGCTTTAAACCTGCAGGATGCATCTTAAACAAAAACTTAAAAGTATTAAAACTTTTGCTACTTTCTTACATGACACAGATTATCTAACCTTTGCTTTTTCCCTGCGTCCGAAAAGAACAACTAAAACCCATCAGAGCCAGAAGAGGGTTTTAGCTCCTCATCACTCTCATACAGTGCAGGTACCAGAACGGCACAGCAGAGTTTGCACATCTAAAAAAACAATCAGCCAGACTCTCAGACGGCTTTGATTTACTAACTTATGATTGCTTATTTGAATGTGACCAGCAATTGACTTTGAATTTTTCTTTTTTTTTTTTTTGACATTATATAATGATGGCATTATTGTGATGTATATGAAAACAATTAGGGCTGCTTAGTGATGCAGTGGGTAACACTGCTGCCTTGCAGCAGGAAGGTTTCGGGTTTGATTCTTGGCCCGGGGTCTTTCTGCATGGAGTTTGCATGTTCTCCCTGAGCATGCATGGGTTCTCTCCGGGTACTCCTGCTTCCTTCCACAGTCCAAAAACATGACTATTAGATTAATTGGCTTCTCTAAATTCTCCTTAGGTGTGTGTGTGTGTGTGAATAGTTGTTTGTCCTGTTTGTCTCTGTGTTGCCCTGCGATGGACTGGCGACCTGTCCAGGGTGTACCCTGCCTCTCGCCCATAGACAGCTGGAGATAGGCACCAGCACACCTCATGGCCCCAGCTGGGATAAACGTGACAGAAAATGGATGAATGGATGAAAATAATTCTATTTTTTATACATAACGATTTCAAATCTGTTGAATTAAACCTGTTAGCAGGATGTCTTTTTTATACTGACTATTTGCTGCAGTGTGAAACTTTTTTTTCTCTATGTTCTTACTAAGTTAGGTGGTTTATATGACCATGTCACGAGTTGTAGCGTTTAATTCTAAATTTAAAAAATGAACAGTCAGTCAGAGTAATTAACAGCGATCGGCATCAGCTGGTGATTGGTGTCGACATTGGCGGCAAAAATCCTGATCGAAGCATCACTAATGATGCAATGAGTTATATGTAAGGAAGGTCTTCTAAGAAGTTAAACAACTTAGTCTTCATCCAAACACACCTCAACAGCTTTGCTCTGTTTGGTATGAAAACCTGGGTGTTCTTGAACTACCAGAGTTAAGATGACCATAATGCATGTTAATAAATTGAAATGTGTTTCCTCTGTGGGTTTGTGCAGCTTGGGATTGTGTACCGGGACATCAAATTGGAGAACATCCTTCTAGACAGCGACGGCCATGTGGTGTTGACGGATTTCGGGCTCAGCAAAGAGTTTCTGGAAGAAGATGTATGTGATGCAAGACTCCGGTGCAGAGCTGTTGTGCCGTGCTTGTGTTCAGTAATCGTGTCTTTGGCCTCATTTTGTTGCAGAAAGGAAGGACCTACTCTTTCTGCGGCACCATCGAATACATGGCTCCAGAAATCATCAGGGGGAAGACTGGCCACGGCAAGGTAACCTCTGCTCCTGCTGCCTTCAGGGTGCTCAGTCGTAAAATTAGGTTTTTAAAGATGCTCAATGTTTTCAGACCATAGATGTTGTAGATTGTCTGTTTTCTTTTAACCTACTATTAAAAAAAAATCTGCAAACTGATTGAAAGAAAACTTAATTTCTCAAACTAAAAGCAAGTTGAGTTATTAGTTATGATTTAAAGAGCTAGAGCGTCAAACTGGATTTGACTATTTTAAAATGAGCAGGCACATCTTCTATGTCGTTTTTGTTTTAAGTAGGTGTTCCCTGTTTGTCTGTTGAAGCAGATGAGCTTCCAGCATCTTGCATTAAGTCCGTTCTGCTTCTGTCCAGCTTCAGCTCTAGTTTGAACCTTGTCATGCTTTTCCTTAAGCTTTCTTTCGTCTCTCTCTGCTTCGCTGCAGTCAGTAGATTGGTGGAGCCTGGGGATCCTGATGTTTGAGCTGCTGACAGGAGCTTCTCCTTTTACCTTGGAGGGAGAAAGAAACTCTCAGAGCGAGGTGTCAAAGTAAGCTCTGGTTATTTTAAATTAACTTTCACAAGTTAAATCATCTGTTTTCTTCTTAAAAGTCACTGTAGAAAACCGATTGTTGGAGAACGGAGATGTTTCCACCTGTTTCAATGGACAACAGTGCAAGGGCTTCCAAGGGGTCATTGTTAAAATCTCCTTACCTTTTCCTCTCAGGCGTATCCTGCGCTGCGATCCACCATTTCCCTCAATGATTGGATCTGTTGCTAAGGACCTGCTGAGGAAGTTACTGGTGAAAGATCCACATAAGAGACTCGGATCGGGACCCAGAGGAGCCGAGGACATCAAAGCACATCCTTTCTTCAGGGTCTCTAACAGCTTAGCTGCCAGTATTTTGGATTTTGACATGAAATACTGTATAAACCCTGCATAACTTTCTGCTTTCTCAAAGGGACTGAACTGGTCTGACCTAGCACAGAAGAAGGTAGCGAGTCCATTCAAACCAGAGCTGAAAAATGAACTGGATGTTGGAAACTTTGCTGAGGAGTTTACTGGAATGGATCCGGTATACTCGCCTGCGAGTACGCCTCCCAGCACCGACCGCCTCTTCCAGGTCCGTCCAAATCTTCAGCTACTGTCTGAAAAGTCGGATACAAGCTACGCTGTTTAAAGGAATAGTACACCCAAAACATGATTAGCCTTCATTTTCTACTCACCCCCATGCTGAACAACACTCTGGAGTACTTTTTTGATATCTCAAATGCATCTGGAGATCTGGGAGGCTTCTTGCTGTCTGCTGACATTCAAATAATGGAGGTCTATGGTGACCGAGACAGAAAGGTCCATAAAAGTCCACAAAAAACGTGTCAATATTCCTCCATACTGCTCGTCCAATGTATTCCAAGTGTCCTGAGTGGGTAGCATCCAGAATTTACTCGAAATGAAGTCATTTAGAATGTTTTTAGAGCATAAACAGTAGTGTATAGGGTTTCCTGAAAGCACGCACATGCGCGCTCACGACGCTACGGAAGCCGGCAGACCAAACCAGATGAAAGTGCGCATTTAGCGTCTGCTCTGCCAATAATGCAAGCGTAGAAGAAGAAATGTGCTGTTTACCTGTGCAAAGAAAGAAACAACGAAAGAAAAATGTCTGAGGACTTCAGTGTTGAGGAAGAGCATGAGTTCTTTGCCGAGCTGAATGTGCTGGTTTGGTCTGCCGGCTTCCGTAGCGTCGTGAGCGTGCATGTGCGCGCTTTCAGGAAATCCTATACACTACTGTTTATGCTCTAAAAACATTCTAAATGACTTAGTTTCGAGTAAATTCTGGATGCTACCCACTCAGGACACTTGGAATACATTGGAAGAGCAGTATGGAGGAATATTGACACGTTTTTGTGGACTTTTATGGACCTTTCTGTCTCTGGCACCATGGACCTCCATTATTTGAATGTCAGCAGACAGCAAGAAGCCTCCCAGATCTCCAGATGCATTTGAGATATCAAAAAAGTACTCCAGAGTGTTGTTCAGCATGGGGGTGAGTAGAAAATGAAGGCTAATCATGTTTTGGGTGTACTATTCCTTTAAACCCGGCCCTCTGTCAGATACATTCCTGTGTTTTTTAGGCCTCCAATATCTAACTTTTCCTATTTTCTTTTTTCCAGGGATACTCATTTGTCGCTCCCTCCATTTTGTTCAATAAGAACGCCGTCATGGGAGACTTTTTTGAAACCCAGGTTGGAGCCGAGCGCCCAGCTTCTGCTTCTGTGCAGCAAAGTGCAATGTTGAAGGTAAGGATCCGCGTTCTGGAATAGTACACGATCCTTTCAGGGTTTCTTTTTTTTTATTCCAAAAAAAAAAAAATTAGGAGAGCATGAATTAAATCCCTTCAGCTGGCTCTCACTGATCAGATTAAATGTTTTAGAAAGACATTAGATAAAAAAAATAAAAGGAAAAACATTAACTAAATTCATGTTATGTTTGGTTTAAAAAAAAATAAAAAAAACTCAGTTTATTGTGTTCCAGAAATTACGAGAAAATGATAGAATATAGTTTAGTTTGTTACACCAAAGCTATGAGAACAGTTGGATGCTGGTATGCAAATAATTTTATCTCATAGGAAGATCAGGTCATGTAGGAATGTTTGATGATGACTCCACACCTGCTTCATGCAAAGCTAAAATCTGGTTTATGTGCTTTATGTTAGTTTGGAGTTCCAACTTTAAAATATTCCTTTTTGAATGTTTTCCAAGTATTTGAAGAGAAACTGTAGAGGGAGCTAAATATTAGGGTGATGGTCAGGAGGGCCTCGAACCCTGAAAACCAACAATGAGATCAAATCAAATTACCAATGGAAGCATGCCAAAAGTCTCAGCAATTTTAGATTCATTATAATAATAATGTTTTAACTTTGTTGAGAAGTGTATTTTTAAATTTAAAGAGGCTGTTTTTTTTTTGTTTTTTTTTTTTAAATTAAACGTGTAGTGGAGGATGTTCTTTTTTCCAGGTGGATAATCAAAATAAGTGGTCCTCCTAATTGTCAGTCATTCTGGTGAAAGGTTTAAGTAAGGCCGCCCTACGTGCTCATCATATTTTTACTTACTCATATAGCAGAAAAACCGCAAATCTTTTGAAAAGTTAGCTTGTATGAGCGATGCAAACAGCAACTTTTAAACAGAGCGTGCACGAGGAGAAATGGGCTCGTTCATGCTCTTGCACAAGTTTAATTGGCGTTCCCACTCGGAAGCGGGTACCGGGTTGTGCATGTGCTTTTTTTTTAAAGTGGAGACAGCGGGTCTTTTCAAAAATTCGCAAAAATCCTCCACAATACTAATTTCTTTCACTTGATACTTTTACAGTGTTTTATCTATTGAAAGGTACCCATCTTGTTTTATCAACCTTCTTGCATGAATAAATGCTAAATCTACCTGTTTTATAAATACACTTTAGCTTAACTGTTAACATGCTTACTTCCATTGTGAGCACTGGTTACCATTGCTAACCTTTCTGATAATGTCTCTGTCGTTTGTTAGGAGTCGCAGTTCTTCCAGCACTATGACCTGGATCTTCATGGACCTCCGCTCGGTGAGGGGAGTTTCTCCGTTTGCAGGAAATGCAGACACAAGCAGACTGGCCACGAGTACGCCGTCAAGATCGTCAGCCGCAGGTGGGTGGACATGTGATGAACTGTTGGTATACTGCTCTATGTTGAGCTGCTCTAAGCTGTTTCATGACTCAAACGTAAAAGTCACACGTAAAACATTTTAATGCTCTGTTTATTAGAATGGAGGCTAATACTCAGAGGGAGATTGCTGCCCTGAGGCAGTGTGAAGCTCACCCCAACATTGTCAAGCTCTATGATGTCTACACTGATCAGGTATGGAGGCTCAGGGACTTAAACACTAAAGGGGACATACATTAGAACTACTCTATCTTTAAATAAGGAGTGTAATACCATTAAATCATAAAATGAAAGATAAATAATTCTTCAGGGCTCCTACACAGTCTGGAATTTAAGGGGAAATGGAACAAAAAGCTTATATACCTCAATCTCTGTTATTATGTCACAGCACTTTTTCAAAGTGACCATGCTGCAGTGTGCACCCCCACCCCATCGTTTTTTTTTTTCATCCGCACCATTTTTATTCTACTTGTTTATTTTGTCTTATTGCTGCTCTACAATGCTGTTAACACTCGGACTCCCACAATTCTGATCCTACTAACACTCTCACTAGCCGTCAATTTGATGGGTGACATTTTTCCCAATGCAACGCATGAGTAGTGATGATGTCACCAACTGAAATGGTTCTAGTTGCGATATAAACCCATTGTGGATATGTAAACCTTAAAACAAATCTAATACATATTTTTTAAAGGCTGTATTGTATGCTATTATTATTTGTGTTCTAAATTTGTATTAAAAATAAATCTGTAGAGTAAGACTGTTTTACTACACAGGTTAAAAGTTTTCAATTCTTCTTGAAAAGATTTCGTTGTTAATGCGCTGGCTCCGTAAAAAAAAATGAAAGATCGCAAGATTGCGCTCCAGCACTACCATCCATGTTTACTTCATGTGTTCTTCAGTGAGAGCAGAGCACACTCGCTACTTGTGATGTCATTGCGTCCTCTACTGCACTTGAAGAACACTTGAAAATCACAGTCATGTTGCATATATTTGGAAAGGACCACCAAAAACTGAAAATCTGATTTCAGAAAAAAAAATCAGAATTGAACATAATGGTCTGCAGTGCTACTGTAGCCCTGGTGTAAGAGGAGAACCAGAGGGCTGGAGATGAACCTCTCTGGATACGAGGAGAGAGAGAGGGAAGCAATGGAGCGGCATAGAACTAAAGGATAGAGACTTTGATTATAAGCTAATGCTACCTTATGCCCAATAAGCCCAGCAGACTGCTGCTTTAATGGTTGAATATCTAGTCAGATATATAGTTACAAATTTATGCTGTGTTATATGTATGAACAACCAGTCGCTTTGCTCTCTAGCCAATTAGTGACCAGCTTTCTTCTAGGTAACTGAAAACCTAAACCAGCAAGTCGAGCCGCTTTGCAAAGCGCTGAGTTGGTTCTAATGGAAAATAATTGAAGCAGAACTTCTCTGGTGACAAAATAATGAAGAAATAATGAAATAAGGGAACAGATGTCTTTTGTTAGTGCTAGATAATTCTATTTTAATTGCAGGGAAGTTAAATAGTAATGTGATCTTCAGTTTAGTCACGTATTGGGAGATTTAGAAAGGAAAAAATAAAAATTACTGGACAAATGACAAGCCCAGCAACAGCATTAAGATGTCAGTAGAGGCATAAATGTCTTGTTGAATTTCCCTGGAAATCCATAGATAATTTGAATTCTATCACATTTATAAGAGGCTTGATCTATAAGACAGTTCAGTGTCTGATTGGTTGATATCGGTGCGTCGAGCAGCGCAAGTTCAGATTTTGCAACTGGAGCTTTAGCTGCTTATGAACAGTGTGCTTGAAACGTGCTGCAGGACTTCTTGATGTGGTTCAACCATAGATTTTGCACGTAAACCGGCTGCTTCTGCTGCTGAAAGCTCGGGTGATGTAATTGAGGTGTTTTTTTTCAAAAAGAAAAAAACTATTTCAGTGTACAAACATGTAAAAAAAGCTTCCACGGTAAAAATCCTGTCGTCCCCAAAAGGTAAAATGTTTTTCCATTCTTATTCGAAAAGCTTTAGCAATAATTTGCTTTGTGAAGAAATTTTTTCCTACTTTTCTTTTCCGGATTGTTTATCTCTCATATCTCCGACCAATTAGATTTCAGTCCAGATTTTAACTAAGCCACCCCTAAAGCCTCAGAGGGACGATTTCCTATGGATCATTGCAGCTGAATAAGAGAGCAGAATTAATAGCTTCATTAAATGTGGTAAAGTGTTGAGGTCCAAGACATGGTCGACTAACAGCATAAAGTTTCCTGTTGTTGTTTTTTTTTTTTTTTTTTTTTACTTAGTTCTTCGTTTTAATCAAGCAGAACACACATCTAATCTTCTTCTTGTGCTGTCTCTGATGTTCTACATCCTGACTAGGAGTTCTGAATTATTTGTCCCATTGTTTAATGTTTTATTTGACAGGAATTCAGCAGATTAGATTTCCCAGAACAGTTTATTTGTGTTTTTGTTGTATTTTGATCAAAGAATCGTGGGGCTGATGCTGTTTACCATCAGTTACATTTGTTTGAAGCTATTTGCAGCTTAAATAAATGCATATTGTGTGGTAATCATCTGTGTGCTGCATCAGAATAATCCTTTATCTTGTCGTGGCATCCCTCCCTTCCTCTCTGTCAGTATCACACGTATTTAGTGATGGAGCTCCTGCAAGGCGGGGAGTTACTGGATAGGATCAAGAAGAAGAAGCTGTTTGGAGAGGCGGAGGCCAGTCAGCTGCTCCAGAGTCTGGTCTCCGCTGTCGGCTTCATGCACGAGGCAGGAGTGGTGCACAGAGACCTGAAACCTGAGGTGGGCCTTTGTTTTAGGAGGAGCAGGCTTTAGCATACACGCCTCGACTGACCTTTTGTTGCACCTCTCAGAACGTGCTGTTCACTGATGAGGGCGAGGACTCGGTGCTGAAGGTCATAGACTTCGGGTTTGCCCGCCTGTGCCCTGCAGGCAGCGCCCCTCTGCAGACGCCCTGCTTCACGCTGCAGTATGCCGCTCCGGAGCTGTTCGAGAGCGCGGGATACGACAAGTCCTGCGACCTCTGGAGTCTCGGGGTCATCTTGGTGATTGAAGCCGCATCCCCTGGTTATGTGGTACGTGTGGGGCTGACAGCAGTGCTAATGACTCTCTGTGTGTGTCCTACAGTACACCATGCTGTCAGGCCAGGTGCCGTTTCAGAGCGAGCAGCGTGGGATGACCTCATCCTACGCTGTAGACATCATGCAGAAAATAAAGGAGGGGGATTTCTCATTGGACGGGGAGGCGTGGAAAGGTGTATCAGAGGATGCCAAAGAGCTGGTTAAAGGTTCGGGCCGTTAAGCAGATTTTTCTAACCATGATGGTTGTTCATTTATAAAGAACGACGTGTTGCTTAAACATGCTTTAATGTTCTGGTCTGAAGGACTTCTGACCGTGGATCCAGAGAGACGCCTGAAACTCTCCGACCTGAAGGAGAACAGCTGGCTGCAGGGAGAAGCTTCTATGTCCACCACTCCTCTGTGCACCCCGGATGTGTTAGAGTCCAGCGGGCCGACAGTCCGCACCTATGTCAATGCAACATACCAGGTAACGGCTCGGCACATTGGATTTAACCTAAAATAGAACAAACATTGGGCATGAAAGGGATTTCTATCACTATAAACCTTTGTGTGTCGGGATAATTTTACTGAAACCAAGTAGCGTTTTAACAAGACAGCATCTTTAAAGTGGAGCATCCGTTTGCATTAAACCGTCCTGAGTCTTTGTACCAGCTTTAGCTACAAACTCAGTTCAAGATATAAATACAGCATTTAAAAACAAAAATAAACCAACAGTTCAGTTCCCCATCATCTGCTTTAGGTCCTGCTGGGAGGTCTGAATATTCTGTGTTCTCAATAGTTTCCACTTTATGTGCATTTAGATTTGCATTATAGTTCAATTATTAAATATTTACACTGTAAAAAGGTGATATTAAAATGACCATTTATAGCTGTGGCTGACTTTAAAACCGTCTTTAATCTCCTTACAATTTGCTCCTGGTCTCTGGGTAATGAGTGATGTAAAAAAACAGTCTGTCTTCTGTCATCAATGTGCCAAACCAGGCGTTCAACCGATGCAAGAGAGAGGGCTTTTTCCTGAAGAGCGTCGACAACGCTCCCCTCGCGAAGCGACGCAAGCTTAAGATGACGAGCACAGGCGTGGAGACCCGATGGAGTTCCTCCTCCTCCTCGTCCTCTTCCTCCACCTCCTCCTCGGCATCCAAAGAGCAGAACAAGCAGACTGTGACCCCGAAGCACAGCAAGCCCAAATGATGCAGCGAGAGAGCAACACTGAAAAGTAAAAGGTGTATCCTAACACCGAGGACGTTATGTCCGCCACTGGGTCGTTTTCCTTAAAAACAAAACAAAACAAAAACAAACCTTGAGTGAGGGATTGAAAAACTGGTGCGGGTACAAAGAAAGTTTTAATGCAAAAATATTTTCATTCCTTCTGCCGCACTCTACTCAAACCAAACGTGTATTTTTCTTGAAAAGAGAAGACGTGCCCTTGAAGATTTGAATTTCCTATTCAGTATTTTTTTTTTTTTTTCACGGAGTAATCAGTTTATCCTCACTGTGGCTACAGAACAGTGCCTGGTTGGAGAAGGAGGAAAAGGGAAAAAACGAGCCATTAATGAGCAGAAGCCATAAACGCAGCAAAAACAGCAAATCTGTGAACAAGAAACAAGCAAACAGATCTTCTCACCAATGATTGAATCATTTAAAGCGGTCAGAGATGGAGAGTTGGAGTGAACTAAATGGCTCCACCACATGATGGCGCTGTGCTCAGTAGATATGAACGTTTAAAGTTTGTTGGGGAAATTGGAGCTGTTTGCACTATCAGCTGATGTATATAAATGATCAAATTATCAGAGAAATATGAGAACTGACTGCATGGAGAACAGAGGGATTTATTTAGGGGGTTTTTGTGTCTCTCAGATATTAGCCCTAATACACGACGAGTTCGCCTGAATTAGATTTTGTTGGAAGCAGTTACATCAGTTTGGTTATTTTCCTCAGAAAGGTGCTGCTCTTCCATTACATTACCAGCTCCCACCTAAATCACCTGTGGAGCTCATGTCTCAACTGACTGAACTCTATGGAAGGTTTTAATCACAAGTGGAACTGCAGATGTTTAGGAGTAGCAGCTGTATAGATTCAAACGCTCACTTCTTTAGGCCTGATCTGCTGATTCCCTTCATGCTGTCTTCTATATTCTGGTTTCTCCAGTTGATGAAAGATAAGCTTTACTGTTGAGAGCTGAATGGTTTGGTGATTTGGACCCATTTTACTCATTTTTGCAGCATCCAGCTGGCCTCCGATCAGTGCCATATCGGTCTCCTACTTGAATTTGACTGTTTTTTAGAATTGGACTTTATAATTTTCTCTCTTTTTTCCTGAACTGGTTTTAGAACATTGTACAAAACGAGTGTCTCATTCGGTGAAAGTAATGCACATACCCTTTGTTTTAATCAAATGAACATTTAATGACTTATTGTTTAGCAGCAATCTGAAAGGTATATTGTCTTTTTTTTATCGGACTTCTTAAATGTTGCACAGTCAGTTCAGCAATTAAGCACATTTCAGCTTTAATGGTGATTTTTGCTGATATTTATTATGTCCTTGATTTGTAATGCTGTGGTTGTGGGTTTATCATGATTAGGCTCTCATTGAGTTCCAGCCCTCTGTGTGTGTGTGTGTGTGTGTGTGTGTGTGTGGGTGGGTGGGTGTGTGAGACATACTGAGATGTTTGATGATCCGTCGTTCTGATATTTTTGTGCCAGATGAAGCATTATTGCAACTTTGCTGTATTATTTTCTGTGGTGTTTCCCACTGATGTTTTTTTTGTTTTTTTTTTTATTGAATTGATTGCTCGTTGATGTTTTTAACTTCAAAACTTGCTTTTATTGGTGTTTGATATTCTTCCCTTGTTGGTGTTTTTTCCTTTTCTTTACCTTCTTTTACTTCTCGTTATGTTTTTAGCTTTGCTATTTTACTGCCTCTGTCAATGTCCTAACTGGGAAATTTGTCTTTTGCACCAAGATCTGTATTTTTGTTTTTATTTGGTGGGTGCAAAATAAATATAACTTTGAAATATGCAGTTTTGTCTTTTTTAAGTTTCAGTCCAGTATTTATTTAATTAAATTCAGTTTAAATATATATACACTACTCAAAAAAATTAAAGGAACACTTTGTAATCAGAGAATAGCATCAAGTTAATCAAACTTCTGGGATATTGATTTGGTCAGGTAAGTAGCAGAGGGGGTTGTTAATCAGTTTCAGCTGATTTGGTGTTAATGAAATTAACAACAGGTGCACTTCAGGGGAAACGACAAGACGACCATCAAAACAGGAATGGTTTTACAGGTGGAGGCCACTGACATTTTTTACCCTCCTCATCTTTTCTGACTCTTTTTCACCAGTTTTGCATTTAGCTAAGGTCACTGTCACTACTGTTAGCATGAGGTGCTACCTGGACCCTACAGAGGTTGCACAGGCAGTCCAACTCCTCCAGGATGGCACATTAATACATGCCACTGCCAGGAGGTTTGCTGTGTCTCCCAGCACAATCTCAAGATCATGGAGGAGATTCCAGAGACAGGCAATTACTCCAGGAGAGCTGGACAGGGCCGTAGCAGGTCTACAACCCATCAGCAGGACCGGTATCTGCTCCTTTGTGTAAGGAGGAGCAGGAGGAGCACTGCCAGAGCCCTAAAAAAGGACCTCCATCAGGCCACTGGTGTGAATGTCTCTGACCAAACAATTAGAAACAGACTTCACGAGTGTGGCCTGAGGGCCCGATGTCCTCTAGTGGGCCCTGTGCTCACTGCCCGGCACCGTGAAGCTCGATTGGCTTTTGCACAGAACACCGGAATTAGCAAGTCGGCCACTGGCGCCCTGTGCTTTTCACAGATGAGAGCAGGTTCACCCGTAGCACATGTGACAGACATGAAAGGGTCTGGAGAAGATGAAATCCTTGCACCCATTGTCAGACCCTATGCTGGTGCAGTGGGTCCTGGGTTCCTCCTGGTGTACAGCAATGCCCGGCCTCATGTGGCGAGAGTATGTAGGCAGTTCCTGGAGGATGAAGAAATTGATACCATTGATTGGCCCCCACGCTCGCCTGACCTAAATCCATTAGAACACCTCTGGGACATTCTGTTTCGTTCCATCCAACGCCGCCAGGTTGCACCTGAGAATGTCCAGGAGCTCAGTGATGCCCTGGTCCAGATCTGGGAGGAGATGCCGAAGGACGCCATCCATCGTCTTATTAGGAGCATCCCTAGACGTTGTCAGGTATGCATACACGCACATGGGGGCCATACAAATTACTGAATACCATTTTGAGTTGCTGCAATGAAATTTCAATAAAATGGACTAGCCTGCCGCACCATTTTTGTTCTGTAATTTTTGGGGTGTCTTTGAATTCAGCCCTCTGTAGGTTGACAATTTTCATTTCTATCAAATGATGTGGCATCAGTTCATATCTGTATAAATAAACAGCATGATTTTTTTGCCCCATTGAGATCTGATGTGTTTTCAAAGTGTTCCTTTAATTTTTTTGAGCAGCGTATATAGTGCCAATTCACAGCATGTCATCTCAAGGCACAATTCAACCAGATCATACAGTAAAATTTATTCAAAGTTTTCTATCTATGCAAAACCAGCTGATTGGATCGACTCATTGACTTAAAAGCAGTCTCTCACACCAAGCATGCATGTAGCGACAGTGGAGAGGAAAAACTCCCTATTAACGGGAAGAAACCTCCAACAGAACCAGGCTCAGTGTGAGCGGCCATCTGCTGGGGCCAAAAGGCAACCGTCAACAAGCTCCACAGAAAGCCCCGTCCAAATTATGTGGTCTGCCTCGTTACCGGGGATAAAGGAGTATGACTAGGAGTATAAATTAATTTCTCATTAAATTTTTTTAATTCCAACAAAAATTAGAAATTTGAAGGAATAAACTCAATTTGACCATTTTGATTTTTATATTCGAATACACAGCGTTTTCTATGGACATTTTAATTCAGTTATTGATACTAAATTATTCCACAGAAAAAAATCCTCTCAGCATATGGTGGATGTCTCTCAAAATGTAAAAAAAAAACATTTATTAACAAGTATGTGTTTTTTAGAGAACAGTAAGTGCAAAAATAAAAAGTTTTGTACCATTTAATAGACAAAGATTTTTGGCATTGCAGTATTTAAATCTTGTAAACGCTGCCAGAGTCTTTTGGGCTAGAGGCTCTCATTAACACCTTAATGTTAAAACGCCTGTGCCGATTCTCTGTCACATTGATGTTCTGTCAGAATATGGTGGTGAAATTTACAAAGATGACCTTAAATCAAAGTTAACCAGGGATAGTTTCTGTTTGAGTCAAAGGCTCCTAAGTTAGAGTGAAACCTCCATTTTCTTTTGTCTTTGTTAGAACCAAAGTATTTTACAGCAATAGGAAAAGGTTTTGGCACCCTGACTCTTTTATAAACTATTCATTGGATCAATGAGCTCTATGCATAACTCCACTACTTCCTGAACTTATGCAGCCTATTTGTTTCCTGTCTTTTATTACTGGAATAACTAATTAATCCAGGTGTGTCTAACCTCAGTAACCATGGCCACACCTGGATTAATCAGTTCATCCAGTAATGAAAGATGGGAAACAAACACGCTGCAGGAAGCAGTGGAGCTGTGCATGGAGCCCATTGTTTCTGTTAAATATGTCATAAAAGAAATAAAAACAGTGATGTCTGGTACATACATTTGGGCACTTTGTCATTTTATTAATTCAAATACCTTTAGCACTAATTACTGGAACACTACATTTGTCTGGTAAGATCATTGGCCCTTTACACACAGGTGAATGCAGTTGTGGGAATACGTTTCTTTTAGGGTGACCAATTGTAAGTTTTTCTCCTGAAGTGGAAAAAATGGGAGCCTCAAAACACTTAAATGACATGAAAGCAAAGATTGTTCAGCATCAGGATTTAGGAGAAGGATAAAAAAGCTTATCCGATATTTCAGCTGTCAGTTTGCACTGCGAGGAACATGGAAGACCACAGGTACAGTTAAAGAGAGGCGGAGGAGAAGATTGACAAGAAACCCAAAGGACTGATCTGTGATGTCACTTCCTGTTGATGATGGATCATTTTAGGCTTTTTGAAACCAAACCTTGTTCTACACAATATATACATCTAATAGTTAATCTCTGATGTGTGGCATTCGTTTGAGAAAAACGTATTCTGGTTTATTGACCAGACAGATGCACTCTTTCCTGGGGTTTTTTTGTTTGTTTTTTTTGTTTTTTAGATCCCCAATTTATTATTATTTCTTATATGAATGTCTAAGATAATCCAGAAACCCAAAACATTATGACTCACAGAAAACTGATGTGTCTTTAATTATAGGAACCAACTTCAAAGGGTTCTAATAATGTATGAACATCATGTGATCTGATTTCAGATTTAGCTACATCTGGATAAGAACAGGAAAGATTTGAATATCCAGACTATTTTAATCTCTATAAACTGAGCCCATCTCTCGTGGGAAGATAAATGCTGACATCTGAATGTATCTGTATGTATTGATATCTATTGGTTTTCCCCTGAAAATAAAAATACGTTTTATGGGATTTCACCTGGTTAAATAAAGTATCTATGTGTCTAAAGGAGCTGCAAAGGATAATTAGATGTCCTGATATAAATTATAGAATAAACAGAAAATACAGTCAATATTTGTTCTAAATAATATGTTCAACATCAACATTTAGCTGGACTAAGGACATCATCTAAGTTGTATTTGGTTTAGTTCAGGCTTAGATTATTGTAATGGTGTCATTAGTGGCTCCTAACTAATCAATAAGGCAGAATCAGCTCTTCCAAACTGCTGCTGCTGGAGTCTTGACCAGCGGCAGGTAAATTACAGCTGTGCTAATGTACACGGCTGTGCTGGCTCCCTGTTTGTTAAAGGGTGTAATTAAAAATGTGGTAGTTTGTCTATAAGGTGCTGATTCAAATAGATCTTAGAGCTGCTGTCTCTTTACACACTATCAGAGGTGTGTTTGCAGAAGCAGAACCAAACATCTGGAGGCAGTTCATTTTCTTTATTTTTAATATCAATATAAAGAGTGACCTGTTTTATTTTCTCCTGATGTTTTAGGTAGAATGAGGGAAGTTCTTTCTAAATAAATCCCTGCTGGTTCCTTCCCATCTAAGTATCCCTGAGAGGCTGTATTTCTTGTCCTGCTGAGCCTCTGGTGGTGCTTAGAAGCTTAATGCTGATGATCCAGGAATTACTCAGGAATTTTATATTCATCACTGCTGATGGTATTACTCTTCTTTCCCCCCTTTTTTTAAATGGTATTAAGCCAAAGATGATTTTCAAGCTGTCGTCGTGTAACACACCTCTTTGTGAGAATCCCACTTATCCACTTGTAATGAGTTTATGGCACCATTAGGTGGCTGGTGTGAGCTTCTCTGCTTACTGCTTCATCCCCTGCTGGCTGCTTCTCATCACATCTGCTATCTAGAATGGAGTTTTGCTCCACACTGGTCGATTTAATGATATGCATGATGCTCTCTGGCTGCAGACTGCTGCGCTGCGCCATCCGGACCAGTGACCATTTCGGTTTGGAGCACAGGTGCATTCATTATACCACTGCTGACAGAATAGGCAGTAAAAGGCACAGCATCCCGTTAACGATGCAACATGTTCATTACACCAGACGCTTACAGGCTAACAAAGACCTCAACGACTTCCCGTTCCATAGGGGCGGACATGTTCTTCCGGTTCAATTTGCATATTTTCTAAGCCAAAACAAGGCTTTGTTGGGCTACTCTGTAAAGCTTGGAACTCAACACTAATCGAGACATTTTGAATTGAAACAGCTTCCTGGATGGGAAGCGAAACGTCTTCAAACTTGGAAAACAAAGTCCAGTGGTTTGTTATTTAACTTTTTTTTAAACGTTTTTGCAATGTCATACTCCTGGTTTTATGTGCAGGTTGTTTTGGCATGGGTCCTTCTCTTTTCCTCTCTGCAGGGTGTGGCAGGCAGATGTTCTTCATAAGGAGCTGAAACCAGGAGGAAGGTGTCAGTTCT